TGGTTTTTTTTCTTGCTTTGATGGGGACTGAGTTTGTTTGTCGCAATGCGGCGAGTTGTCTTGGATGGGACTAATTCAGGATGATCAAACGAGACAGCTCTACACTTGCACGTATGTTATGTTGTGTTGTCTGTTCGCCTGTTTTATTTTCTTCATTGGTTTCTGCACCTCAAACTTAGATTTTCTGTTATATGTTGTCTGTTCGCCTGTTTTATTTTCTTCATTGGTTTGTGTCATGTCTTTTCAGTGGAAAGGAGGCTCTAGATTATTTCAAGGAAGAACCATCGTTATTTGACATGGTAAGGGTTCTTTTAACTCACATTCTTTAGATATAAAAAGGAACTCATGATTTCTTGTGTGATTGAACCAAATTTTGTTTCGATTTTTCTGGCATGGATTTTAGTGGTTTCTATCTCCATTCTTATTGTCTGTCTCAATTTGTCTTTCATTTATCTGGCTAGTATCATGCAGGATACAAATCGCAGATGTCAAATTGGCCTGAACAGCCGGTTAATGTAATTATCAAGTGGCTGAAAAAACAGAGCCCTTCTTTTGTTATTGCTGATTTTGGTTGTGGTGAGAAGTTACTCTGATCCTATTGCAAATTTTCACTTTTACATGATGCCTAATGCCTAATGCCTAAGTTCTTTTGCTCATTTTTAGTGCCTTCATGTTTCTATTCCAGGGGAAGCACTCATTGCTAAAACTTTGAAGAATAAATCTTCTCCTCTGGATCTTGTCTCTAGTGATCCAAATGTAATTGCTTGTGACATGGCAAATGTATGTTTTCCTTCTTGTAAGCCTGTGCACATTGGAAGTTACTTTTAGAGCATCAGTAGTAATTTTATTTGTCATCCATCCTTGTCATTATTCATCATAATATGTGAAAAGTCAGTTTATGATTGGTCAGTTTTTGGCATTCATTTCACAAAAGTGTAATGTTTCATGTATTTGGAAAATAAACATTATGTGATCATGAATATTTTTATTGATATGAATATTATGATATGCTATTATTACTGGTAACATTGCAAAGCAAATGCAACTGGTCAGGCTTCAGGTTTGCATTTTTTGTTAGTTTCAAAATAAACGAAGTAGAGTCCTAAACTGAGAACTGTCTCAACTCAAAGCACTTGTTTGAAGGTTATAAACCAGATTAGCTTACACGTTCTGTCTGTGACATATTGGCAGAACACCCTTAGCCATCCTCATCTGTTAACGTTATGCTTAGTGATTCTGATCTTTCATTGATGGGAACCAACTACCAAAGTTACATTGAAAGAAATACAAACGTGGTACAACAAAAGCCAGGGATTATTGTTTCCTTTTGCATGATCTTACCTTCTTTTGGATGAGAACCCCATTGGAAATCCCTACTGAAAATCGGAACTTGTATAAGTTATCTTAACAAGTAGGAATGCTATTTGATAGCAGAAGTTAAGAGTAAGAGAATTTTGATCCAAATACTGGAGGACAGACCCTGAAAGAATTTATCAAATGCTATCTTTCTGGCTAGGTTTCAAAAATCTGTAAAAGAAAGGGTGGATATGTTTCATAATTCGTTACTACAAAGTAAATATAACAATTGGATTGAAGTTTGCAACTGGTGTTTACACCCATGCAGGACTATCTCAAAAAGAAAATTGTTTTTTTGTTTTAACTTTACAAAAAGGTATGCACAGCAAATTGCAGTGATATATCTGATTTCATTTTTTTTGTCTCTTTTGTTCTTTATATATTTGGCAGATATAATCATCTACATCTGATATCTCTTCACTGTTATGTATGTGATAAAAGCAAATTTATCTAAGGGAGGAAGGAGATTGTGGCCAAACACAACTTAACCATTGTTTGATATAAGCGTAGAATGATGTTATAATAGCATTTATTTTTTTCCTTTTCCCTGTACTCAAAATGTAATCTGTATCAGTTAAAATCGTTCATACGGTGTTTAATTTTAGCATACTGTCCCAATTTTTTTAATAGTTAAACGTATAAACATTATATATTACAATTTTCCAACTTATAATTTGTATGAATAATTATAAATTAAATTATAATTGTGTAACATATTCTAGTTTAGTAAACATATATTGGTATTTATCAAGTTCAAATGTATTAAACGGTTATAACTTAGCAAAAGAATATTTAGTGATAAGATGGGAAAAGACAAATATTCAATGTAAATGAAAACAACTTTAAATAAAAATTAAACAATTTTTTAGTATGAAAAAGCTTAATAATAATATGTATATCACAAAACAACTTGATTTCGGGTAAAAAATAACACCTAGTTAGGTAATTTAATTTAATTTAAATAAAAAATTATTTGTAACAAACCTGTAAAATATAATTTATAATAATAATGATTAAATTTTTTAAATTATAACAATGTTTATCATAATATTTTTAACATTGATATTAATAATGCACATTTAATACTATAATTGAATTTAGCTTAATGATAACAACTTTATAAAATAATTTGAATAAATAACAGCTCACAATGCCATTTTTTTTTTTATAATTACAGCATAAATCTAAATTCTTTAAGATATTAAAACTTCTATTCTACTTTTTAATTTAAACATTTTACATTTTAATTCTAATGTCCATAACTTTATAATAATAACTAATTTAAAAAAATATTTATCAGCCATATAAATTAATTAAATCAATAATTATGTCAATAATTTTAAAATAGTTAAGTCAATAATTCGTATTCAACATAAAATAATTACTTTATAAATATGATTATATAATAATACTCTCTATCTATATGTAACAATTTTTTTTCATTTTTTGTGTTTATATTTATTTTTCAACTTTATCTTTTAAATAATTTTTTTAAATAAAAATTAATTATTTTATCGTTTTTTATTTAACCACCTTTTAAAGTTAATTATTTTTTAAATTAACAAATTACGTACAAAATAAAAAACTATTTATAATAAAATTATAAATTTATTTACATTTAATTTTATAAATATAATAATAATAATGATGTTCAAAATTCTGAACATCAACATTATATGAAAAAAATATCTATAATTATTACAAAAGGTATTATTATCACTTCTTAATGTTAATTAAATTAAATTAACTATTCTATATTCAACTACATTAACTATTTTTTTTAAATTTTGATTTCAGACATAATGATGAATATTAAAAATCAATAAGTTTATTCAAAGTTAATTCAGTTTAAAATCTAGCTGAGAAAAAGAAAGAGGTGAATTGAGTAAATCTGGGTTTGGGGGAACTTTTTGAAGAAAAAGGTTTATCTGAGAGAAAAATTCGAGGGTTTAATGTGGCAGATGCCTAAGTGTTGATTTTGCAGGATCTAATCATCTCTTCTCCCTCTGTCCGAGTCTTCTTTTTTAGGTTTGTTTCCGTCCTATGCTTGTTTCTGTAAATTCCCAATAACATGGATATATACTGAAATGATTGGCAGTAGCAGTAATAATGGTTTTCTGGGTGGTATCATGGTTATATTCTTACATTATAGAATTTGTATGTCAAATTTCTTCTTTTACTTCATTGTTTGCTGCTTCTTGTGTTGTTGTACACTTTAAACATGTGTGTGTGGTGGGGGAATGGATCCCCGAATGCTCAAGTTGATTGAATTGTTTTTTTTTTCTCTGTTTGTGCCTATGTATTAATTTTTTTTCAGGTGAGGGCAAAAAACTCAGGCTGGATAAGATGCTGGCGGATATTTTGTAGTGTGGGTGCAGATGCATTTTTTTCAAGGGAAAAAACCTGAGATAAATCAGGAAGGGTTAGGACAAGGATTTGTTAGTGCGTTGTTTAATTTTGTAAACCATGCGTCTGGTGGCAGTGGACAGTGGAACTTGTCGGACTTTGACAAATTTCTGAAAGGAGAGGCATGGGTGGGATAACTGCGAATAACCTCCTGTAAACGCCCATGAGGCATTAGAATCCATGAAGTGCGGTGGGGTACTTGGGGTGAGGTCCGGTGGTGAATGCTGAGATCTTTTCTGGGTCGAGGGACACTCTCCCATCTTAGGTGATGTGGCCTAGGTAGGTAACTTCTGAAACTCCAAAGATACAATACTTAGATAAAAAAACTTGTTAGAAACAAGTGCGTCTAAAACTAAGCCGAAATGTGTTTTATGTTCAGGGAGATAAGAACTGCTATAGGAATATTATCTAAGAAACCAAGGGCAAATTGTTGGTTGAAATTAATGAACCAAGTAATTCGTTATTGATTTGAAGGTGGATAGAAAATTAGTAACCCAAAAGATTTGATTAGAAGTTGATCCACATTAGGAATATGGAATTGGAATTTATCCTTGACTTAACAACATATAAGGCCCTGTAGTTAACACAAAATTGCCATGACCTACCTATCTTCTTAACAAGGAGAATAGGGGAGGAGGAGGTAGGGGTGTGGGATAAGAATTGTGAGTCCTTCTTGTAACATTTTGTCGGATGGTGGTGGTAATGGCCCTTTAGGGGACTGGGATAGCAATAGGGTTTGACTATCATGGGAGGGGTGTAGTAGGTGCGATAGGGTTTGTTTTGTTTGTTTTCGCAAATGTTCTAGTGTTTCACTTTCAATTGTCATTACCGTTGTTTATTTTGTATTGCTGATATTTTTATCATATTTTCTTTAGAATGTCAGCTTCCCATCTCCCTATTTATTTCTATGGTGGGAATTATGAATATGAATTCCCTTTTGTCAACTCAAAATGGGAATGTGTACGCATAAAATAATGATAAAAAATTTAAGGTAGAAAACCCTCTCAGTGTGAGTAAGGAAAATCCTATATGCATCAATGGAATTACCTGCATGTGATTCCTTCTAGCTCCTCAGAACTCAGTACATCTTTGCAAGTCCTATGCATTAACAAGTGTATTTAATTGTGTTGTGGCTGCTGTTATGGAGGAATCTCCAAGATTTAGCAGTCACAGATCACAGTCATAGATTCACAAGCTAACTGATCATGTTATGGATCTGTTAGTACCAAAATAGTTGAACATTTTTATTCATTTACCCTCAGTATACACGTTCCCCCCCCAAAAAAGAAAACAAGTGGAGGTCCCTGAATTATTTGGTTGAAGCTTTAACAATTTGCAGTCAGATGACTGCAGAAACAAAAGACTTCATTCACTAGCATTTGAAAGTATGAATTCTACTATTAAGTGAGATTTTTCAATTTGAGTTGTTTTTCTGAAACTAGGTTTTTTATGCGTACAATTTCAAATTTTGCACCACTTTGCACCCTCCATTCTCAAAGCTCATTTCTTCTACAAAGACATGGAGAAAATGTCAATCAATTTTTTAGTGTACAAGCATAAGCAAACTCAGAACCAGCCTGAGTATCGGGTATCATAGGATGAATAAGTATACGTTCCCCGTGAACTTTACCCATATAATTTCACAATTCCTAAATCCATCGTGGGCTTTTGAACATCACAAATTTGATTCTGGAAGGTATGTAATGGGAGGAAGGGGAGTTATTCGGGATTGTATGGCCTGATTTAGTTGTCAATGTATTGTGCTCTCCTTTTTTGTTAAATAGTTGAGGCCTTTGTTATCTATATTATTATATCTTGATTATTTTCATTTCATTTAATAGACAGAAAAAAGTACTTTCTATTTCCATTCAACCCTCGCAAATTTTTTAATGCTTAATCACAGGTAGAAATATAAAGTTGGCAACAAGAGTCACTCCAGTAATGGGTGGTCTCCAGTACAAATCCCCACAGCAAGGAGATAGCCATCAGAAGGAGGATTTCTAGCATGTAATTTTTTTACTTTTTTTTTAATCTTTTATTGTATTGTAATGAATGTATCTTTGCTTGTTTTGTATATCTGACATGCGGAATAATAATCATCATCGTATGTGATTGCCTTGTTTTCATCTGGTGTATGAAAATCATTCAATCATCTAATTTAACGAAAATAATCCTGCAGAATTGGCAGGATAATTGTGCCGTTTTTAGAAAAAAATATTGAAGCTGCAGTAGTTGGAGATTAATATTCGGCAAATTACTATAATGTCATCGTTAGTGGGTAGTATTGCATAGTTAATATAGGGTACATTACTATAATATGCTGCACTACTTCCACCACCATTTTCACATCAAATAATCCAATTAAATTTTGCATTACAATAGAAAACCTGGGTAGTATTACAAATAATGTTTACCATTGCTGAGGGTCCAATTGAGCAAGGCATTGGACCATATGTTTTTAGTTTCTTTGGTTGGTTTTGTGGCTGGAAAAGAAGAGCTGGGATGTTGGCACGAAGTGTAGAGTTTTTTGGTTTCTTTCGAGAGCCATGCCCTCTAATCCACATTATACTAGCAAGTGTAGCTGCGATATAATGTCAATTATATTTAGAGTTCTTAATGAATACGTATACTAAATTACACATGTTTTGTGCAATAGAAATAAGTATCATGATCATTGCACTATATTCGGCACTTTAATTCTTAGCGTGTTTGGCCGTTTTATTTCAAATTCAGTCAGTTAATAATTTTGCTAACTAAACTGTAAATTTATAGATTTAACAAACGTGAAGACGATTTCCCATCTTTGAGGGAATATAATGATTACTTGGAGGAAGTAGAGGACATGAGTAGCTTTTATTGTCTTGTTAAGAGCTGTTTCACACTTGAACTTTTGCTTTCTTTTCGTGATTTACCTACCTTTTCCCCCATTGCAGCATTAACTTGATTGAAGGATAGATATTTCAGCCATTGAAGAAAAAATTGCTAAATACCAGGAAGAAAATGCCGAACAATAATGATTAATCGAGCTAGGAAGGTACATTTCAGTAATAGACTTTTCATTCATGGTCTCAATCACAAAAAGAGTGCAACTTAAGTGTGTTATATAAGTACAAGTTTCCTGTCATTTTTTAATCTGTTTTTATGCTGATATTAATTAATCAGGCTGAAGAGTTGGCTGCTGCTCTGGCAGCAAGTAAGGGACAGCCTGCACTAACTGACAACGATGCGGTGAGCATTGGACTTTTATAAATTGATTGCTATTACTTTCTGGCACAGTATTCAAACTTTATTTAGTTTAGACTGGTATGTGATATTGGGCTTTTAAGTCTTATCATGGTACTGCCTCTATTATTATTATTATTATTATTATTATTATTCAGTATTATTATATATTTATTTATTACATGCCAAACTGATTATTAATACAACTACTTATGTTTCATTTGTGAAAATTGTTGATTGTTTTTCCTTAAGTCAGCATTTGATATCTTTTTGATCCACATTTGACTGAAAAAAAAATATGAATCCTTGAAATCCAAAATAAATTAATAAATCGTAATCAGATTCTCTTCAAAAGAAAAGGATACGGCTGTAAAGTTAAGAAGGACAAATGAGCCAAAAGTTTCACTACATAACAAGCTATGGGGCATAAATGGGCCAGTAGTTGCGTAACAAACTCTTGACATTTGAGATGGTTGATGGGTTGGCTTGTGTCTGTCTATATATGAAGCAACTGTGAAGATGTGGATTCATTGTAGATGCAATTGTGTAGAACAATAACATACATGATAACTGTGGTTTTTCTGGCAGTTTGTGATACTTCAGCTGTGAGATTTTTAATTTGAGACTTTTATAATAACCAGTATGATTAAAGTTTTGATTGCCTTAGCCTTCAATACCAATAAAACTTTGCTTGAAGCCTTTTTCTTTCTTTTAGCAGTTTTATTTTGGTTGGGATTTAACTATGTTTGAATTAGCCAATACAATTTGCACGTTAAAGTGTTTTCTCTGTTTTGTTCCAATATCTAGTTTGTGCTACAAAGTCATGGAGCACCCTTTCCAAATATAATATAAATATATGAAAGATTCTAAGAGTGTTTGTGTTGTAGTTACATTGAAGGTAAACTAATCTAGCACTACTCTGGCCTCAACTCTTTTGCATTGAAAAGAGGAAAATGTCCTTTCAACGGTTTTAAGAACACGCCTAACTTTCTCTATTCTCTATACTCTTGATGCAGGCCACAAACCAAAATTCTCAAACAGGATTTGGAGCTGTTCCTCAGGGACAGTATGCACCTACATTTGCAGAGGACAGCCAAGACCACAGGCATGGCTCCACAACCTTTACCACTTGGAGGAGGTGACATGCTGGGCTTTTGCAGGTGATGATGAGGAATCAAAGAAGCTTACGAGATGAGAGAGGAGCAAGAGCTGGAGGATGAGTGTAGAAATAAGTCGGAAACGGGCATATGAAGAAGCCCTTGGAAGCCTCTGGGTTTGTTGAGACAATACTAATAATATTCATATAAGGTAGGACTTGTCTATTGCTGTTCATGCTAAATTCCAGTGTCACTGAAAGCTATTTTTTTTGGCATGGATATTATGATGTATATTATGTGAATGTAAGATTTATTGCAATTTTTGTTTCGTCTAACTATAATGAATCATGTTCAAGAGAACCTTGTCTATGATTGGCAAAAACTAGCTGCAAAGTTTGTTCAAAACTAAAATGTTGATATGCGGCAAGTAATTTTGGTATATTTGTTTGGATGTTATATATATGTTAAAGTAGCTGGAAAATATAAAATGATGTAAATAAATGTATTGATTTTAAATTTTATGTAATTTTCATTTACGAATATATTATATACTTTTTATTTTTATTCTACTATTCATGTTAAACTATATATATATATATATATATATATATATATATATATTATCGGTAAAAAATGAACATAATAAAAATAAAGCACTAGTGGTGCTCAAACACTTTTACAAAAAAAAATGTACAAGATACTAGTACTAAGAAAACAAAACCTGAATCGTGTTTCCAAATTGAAAACAAAACATAGAAGAGATAAAATCATGAAAAGCTTAATAGTACTAAGAAAATAGAACAACAAGATAAGCTTTTAGCATAAGTCGTCTAATAGCTTTCAAGCAAAAAATCTTAAACTATAATTAAAGATAATTTTCTTTCAAATTTGAAGCAAAGCATAATGCCATACTACTGCATAGACATAATATTTTCCTCATGTTAATTAATGTAACAGTTAAAAGAATGTAATATAAAAAAGTGCTGGTATATCAATATCTACAAGTTTAATGCCAAACAATAAGCCATAGTAAATGGTTTAAATATTAAGATAAGAAATGTTATGTAGAAAACTATTTATTATTTATCCTTATAAACATTAATGTGATAAAAAGTGAAAATAAAAATATTGTCATAAAAAATGATAAGTTTATCTTCTGGGAAAATATTATAACAATAATAAGAACAGAATACCCCTTTACATAGAAAATATAGGAACTACATTTTAGAGTAGGTTTTGCGAAAGCAAATACTTCTCTTGTAAGCTGAATTCAGCTAGTAAAAAAGTTAAAAGATAACTGAAAAGTTCCCTTTGGCTCATTTTCATTTTGAATTGTTTCTCTCCTTATTCTTTCAGGATGTTAATTGTTCAAAGAAAGAATTTAATTTAAAGTGAAGAATTTGGAAATAACAAAAGAAAATTGCCATAGTTTCCAAGAATAAAGATAACTCTGAACCATAATAAAAATAAAAAGAGAGTTTAATTGATTTATGTAAGGTATACTATTTTTATCTTTAATAAATTTATTATTATTTTTGTTAAGGTTATATTTTTTTATTATAAATATAAGGAAGATTAATTTTATATATAGTTTTTAGTATATTTAATCATTTATTTCTTAAATTCAAAAGTGTAAGATGTAATAGTTTTTTTTTCTTATTCTGTTTTGCTTTATTATATTTTAATTTCTATATTGTGAAATTTTATTATAGCTTTAAAAATGTTATTAAAGATAAAATAAATAAACAATCTGCATATATCATTAATTATTTATTATATTTTGTTTTTAAATAACTAAGAAAAATCTAAAGATGTTTTAACTTAGTTGATTGGAATGTCATGACTGAATTGTTATGAACTCCTGTCAGTTCTCTAAAATATAAAACGTTACAACGAAATGCGTAAATAAAAATCATGTATATAATTTAAAACTAAAATTATTTTAATAAAATTGTTTCAATATAACGATAGCTGATTTATATCGAAAAAATTCTTAAACTTTAATGATTTTGCAAGTAAAACTATAATTTTCAGCCTGGTATAAAAACATCCATTAAAGACTTTTTTTTTTAATTTTATTTGCTGAAACAACCTATCTTTTTGTTTTGAACATACAATTCAATGATCTTCTTATTCTTAACATTGAACATTTAGATAAAAATTTGTGTTTTTTTTATCATGTGTGTGGCATTAATGTCAATTTTGATTTTTACTTAAATTGGAGACAACTATTTGATTTATAACTTAAAGTGGATGTTAATGGTTATTTTTGTGACCTCTTACAATTTCAATATCTAATACTTTGAATAACCTTGTAAAACAATTTAAATTGAATAAAAGAAAAATGTAATTGAACAATGTTCTAAAATTAAATTTATAAATAAAATCATCATTAAAACTTTTCATGATGATAAGAAGTTAGATAAATTTATAATATTGAAAGTTTTAAAATAACTTATTTGTTTAAAAATATTATAATTTTTAGAGTAGATATTCAATAGTCAGTTCATCGAGTTAACTCGTGCTATTCAAAAGGAAATTGGAACTCTACGTAATCATATATTCAGCATTAGTTAAATATTTACTTTTCAAATAGCTGACTTCTCATTGCATAGAATATATTGTAGTTTCATAATTTATTTTAAAGATATAGAGTATTTCAGTAAATAAAAATATAAAATAGAATGTTCAAAAAAAGTCCAAAAATAAATGAAATATATTTTCTTTGAAAAGATAATTAGTGAATCCTTTCTGATTTCTAATCTGCAATTTAATAATAATGAGATTCACGATGATGAGAAATCTATTTTCCAAGTAATCGATTTTTCACCTTCAAACTATATATGTTACTTTTGAAAATTAATTCAAAACTAGGTTATATTCAGTAAATAGAATTAAAAACAATATATATATATATATATATATATATATATATATATATATATTTTTAAATAGTCTCCATTAAATCATCACTAAAAACCCCACATACTAAAAAGTAAAAATTTATAATAAAATAGAAAACGCCAACAAGGGTGGACAAAAAGGAACAAAGGAAAAATTAGCTTACTGATTGAACAAAACCTGCAAACAACGTAAGTCTCCTTCCAATTGCACTGTGTTCATCCCATTCTGTGAGTGTTCCTTTTCCCTGCATTTCATAGTATAATCAATTTTCTCTTTTTCTGAGACTGATTTAATTGATTTCTGCTATATGCACGTTCATTTCTGATATCATCGTTTTAGGGAATGAATTTCCTTCAGTTTGATCTATTGGGTTGGAAGCGAAGCCTTTGTGGATCACTGATTGGATTTCAAAGATCTGTTTTTTAAACAATTTTAATCGAATTCCTTCCTCTTTTCTCCATGTATCCCTCACTCCCCCTCCGTCGCGACAGGCCTGCCGCCGACCGCCCCCTCGCCGCCATGGCCAATTCCCCAACTCAGATTTGGGTTTTTAATGGTTTTCAAATTTGAGTTCCTCTCCTACTTTTTTTTATCCTCGTTCTTTTATTATTTCAGTTAAAGAAGTTATAATCGGCAGTGAGATGTGTTTTATACTGTTACCAATATATATGAAATATTATTATTATTATTGTACTGATTAATATTTTTTATTATGTATATTTAGTATGAGATATGCTACAGCATTATTGTCACAATTCCAAGGAGTAAAGTTTACAGGTTCCATAAATATCTAATATTGGTATTGATAGTTGCAAGGCTATATAAAATATATGTAGTTGTTTTCAATTTGTTAGTTTTGTTTTTTTGTTGATGGTGTCAGGCTATATAATCTTTTTAGCTATGCTTGACTTACTTCCTTTGCATCTTATTAATCACTGAACTTAAATGTTTCCTTAACTTTTCTCTGGTGTTGTCTTTCTGAATGCTGCTTAAATTTAAGGTAAGAAAAATAAGGGGAAACTGGATAATTTTTAGAGGCGGAATGGGGGTCTTTGGTGCAATATGGAAACTCTTCATCCAATTTATGAGAAGAACGTTAGTGTTTGATTTCTGAGCTTGCAATTACATTGGGTTGTTGTTTTCAAATTACTGCAGTTTGGACCTGAAAACCAGCTCTTGGTTGATTGTGACCTTGTCAATTGGTGAAATATATATGCTCTCCAATTATGGATAACATGAAGAAAGATGAACCTCAAGATGAGAAGCCAGATGAGCTTGCTGAATCTCTGGATGATCTATTCTGTAGCATTTCCACCATGATCAAATCCGAGCTTCAGGTGAAACTCCAAATTCTTTCTTCCTTCCCTCTGACATCCTATTTTTATATGTTCAATGAACACTCGGTGAATCGTAATGTAGCATTGCTTGAAAAGTTGATTGTGATTTTTATTTACTTGTTTTGTTATAATGTGATGAGATTTTGTGTTAGGGGACAAATAATCACCTAGAACTGTTGGAGAAGATGAATGTAAGAGTGGCAGAAGAATACAAAGGGTTTGGTGACTTGGCTTCAGGGTTGAGGGTTTTTGTGGAGCAGCTGAAATGCAAGAGCGGTAGCTTCAATGAATATGTTGAGCAGATTGATAACATAGAGAAGCAGGTGACTGAGTTTGAAGCTGTTGTGTCTATGCTTGATAAGTATGTTGCTCTGTTGGAATCAAGAGTGCAATATGTGTACCTTCCCAAAATCCATCTTCCTAATCAACAATAGTGTAAAACTTTTACTTTTCATTATTAACATTTACATTATTTCCTCATCTCAAGTGAATGAATTGCTAGATTTACCATCTTGTAGATTTACATATGTTCTCCTTTGTCAAAACAAAGGGTATTGAAAGGCCTACCATGATTTCTATGCATAAATCTTTAAACTCATTCAATCAGCATCATAATTAAATACTTCAAGAAAATCATGTTTATATATCAATTAATGTAGGTCACCAGACCAAAATT